CCACAGTAACGTAGACCAAGCGCCCGAGTGCCAGAGACGTAACGCAGCACACCCAGAGCGAGCNCCATGTGCGCTTTGGTGGGGGCGGACATGTGCCGCGCCAGCATGCTCAGAGCGTGTGCGATGTCTGGGCGTGTGCTGGTAGCGAGGTAGTTTAGTTCTCCCACCAGTGCGCGGTAGCCACTGCTGTCCGTCAATATCGGCTGGGTGTCACTGGCTGGCAGAACCCGCGTACCCTGGGGTAGCGGGGTGGCACGTGGCTTGGCGTTCTCCAGGCTGTGGCGCTGAAGCAGCTGCTCCACGTAACGCTGCTGCGTGAGCATGATGCTGCGGTTGCGGCGGTCCTGGATGATCTCCATGCCGAGGTAGTAGCGCGCCTCTCCAAGGTCTCGTACAGCGAAGCAACCAGCTATGGCCGCCTTGGCGGCCGCAACCAACTGCGGGTTGTCCGCCGCCACCAGCATGTCATCAACGTGCACGAGCACATCGATTGAGCCATCGGACCCCCGCTTGACGAATAGCGCGGGGTCGGACGCAGACGGTTCATAGCCTAGCTTGCCCAGCTCCGCCGCCAGCTTCTCGTACCAGCAACGTGGGGCTTGCTTGAGGCCGTAAACAGACTTTAACAGCCGGCACGCCTGTGACGGGTCGCCGTTGCTGTAACCTGGGGGCTGTCGCATCCACAGCTCCTCTGCCAGGTCACCGTTCAAGAAGGCCGTCTTGATGTCCATCTGATGGACCGTCATACCTCTGGCTGCTGCCACAGCTAGAAGTGCCCGCAGGGAGGCTGCACGCGTAGTGGGCGCAAACAGCTCTCCATAGTCTATGCCCGCTCGCTGTTCAAAGCCTTTCACCACTAAACGCGACTTGTAGCGTACCTCACCGCCTGGCTCCTGTTTGATTTTGTAGACCCAGCGGCAGTCCAGGATGCGTGCACCGGGTGGCGGCGTGCCCAACTCCCAGGTCTTGTTGGAGAGCTGCGACAGAATCTCGTCATCCATCGAAGTTCTCCACTTGTCCGCTTGTGGACTCGCCACCGCTTCCTCATAACTGCGCGGCTCCTGCACCGCGCTGTTGCCTCCGCCGCCCGCATTGCCGTCACCTGCCTCAGCATAATTTGTGCTTCCCGACGCTTTGTTAAGCAGCGGTGGACTGCCCAAATCTCCGCCGCCGCCGCTGCTGTTGTTGGCTGGGCAGACCGTGGCCAGCGGCGGGTGAAGAGGTTGCCGTTGGCTGCGTGTGTTGGGGCGGGGGGGGGGTGCTGGGTTCACTGGGGGCGATGCAACCACTGGAGGCGGCGGTGTGGCGGGCTGTGTAGAGCCGCCGACGGGGTCGCCGCTGCCAGGACGGGCGGGGCCAGCACCGAAGGAGGTGCCCGCCCGTTGAGACGCCAGGCCGCGGAGGTCGTCGTCGAAGGTGACGTTGCTGCTAACAGTCACCTTACCGTCGACGAGGACGCGGTGGGCGGCCGTGCCGCGCTCCGGTCCTAGGTAGGTTCCCGCCTCTGCGCGGGGACCGAGCTTAACCTGCTGGCTGGTTGGGACGCGGACGTATGCCAGGCAGCCGAAGGTGTGCAGGTGACTGACGTCGGGGGTGACGCCATGATAAGTTGCCCACGGCGTAGCCTCCCGGCCCTGAGAGGGGGAAACATTGCGCAGGAGGTTGGCGTATAGCACAGCTTCCGACCAAAAGCTGTCCGGGAGCGCGGCATCGTACAGCATAGCCCGCACACGGTCGAGGAGCGTGCGATTGAGCCGCTCCGCTGCGCCGTTCTGCTCCGGAGTGTACGGCACCGAGTGGGTATGCGCAGTGCCGCGCTGGCGTAGCCACTGTGCCAGCTGCTCGGCGACAAACTCGCCACCGTTATCACTATGAAGGGTGCGGACCCGTGCACCGTTCGGGTTGCGAGCCTCCAGCTGCGTCACCATGTCCTGCAGCGCTTCGCCCACTTGGTTCTTGCTAACCAGTGTGTGAACGGCAGACAGACCGGAGGCACCGTCCAGCAGTGTTAGCAAGTAGCGAGCCCCTCCTCGGCCCGTGGTCGGCATGGGCCCGCACAGGTCAGAGTGTACGACCTCCAGGACATGCTGAGGCCAGTTACCGCGGCTGACGTGAGCTGTAGCTGTAGTCTTCGCTGTGACACAGGCTTCGCAGACACCCTCTGCCGCCTGACGCAGCACCGCGGGAGTGACCCGTGGTCCATGTACCAGCTGCTTGGTGATAAGCTGCTCCAACGCCCGGTAACCAAGGTGGCCGAACTGGCGGTGCAGGCGCTGTGCTGCTGCGAGTTCGGCGGCTGAGCACTCAAGGGCGCCCAGCTGCCCTTGGCCGTTGCTGGCGCCGTTCGACTGGTCTCCGCCGGTGTCACTGCTGCCGGCGCCGTTCGCCGGCGCCGGCGCGCCGGCGCCGGCGCTGATTGTACGTTGAATTGCATGTCGAATTGCGCGTTTAGAGCTATGCGAATCGCGCTGTATGAAGCGTGTACGGCATTCATTCCGACGCGGAAGCGCGTTTTGAAACGCGCATCAAATTATGCGCTAAAGCGCGCGTTGAATTCCGCGGCTAATTGTACATTGAATTGTGCATCGGATCGCGCATTTAGAGCTGTGTGAATCGTGCTGTATGAAGCGCGTACGGCATTCATGTGAAGCGCGCATCGAATTATGCGGTAAAGTGCGCATCGAATTCCGCGGCTAATTGTACGTTGAATTGCGCGTCGAATTGCGCGTTTAGAGATGTGCGAATCGCGCTGTATGAAGCGCGTACGGCATTCATTCCGACGCGGAAGCGCGTTTTGAAGCGCGCATCGAATTGTGCAACAAAGCGCGCGTTGGATCCCGCGGCTGATTGTACGTTGAATTGCATGTCGAATTGCGCGTTTAGAGCTATGCGAATCGCGCTGTATGAAGCGTGTACGGCATTCATTCCGACGCGGAAGCGCATTTTGAAACGCGCATCGAATTGTGCGATAAAGCGCGCGTGTTGAAGTTTGCGTGTTGATGTTGCGTGTTGAAGTTTGCACGTTGAAGTTTGCGATCTGCTATCGCTGCATATCGCATATCGCATAATATGCATACGTGCATATGAAGCATATGAAGCATATGAAGCATATGAAGCATATCATGCATATGTGCGCGTGTTGAAGTTTGCACGTGAAGTTGCG